CACAGCCCTTTTGGTTGTTGTCTTTGACAAAGCAGGCGGCCACCATAGAGCTCAGCTCCACCTGCGGGAAGCTGAGCGAACATGGACAAGCAGGCTGGGCAGACTCTACGTTCTTCTACCCCCTCTTTGACAACACAGACCCTCATGCGGTGACGCTAGACATAGACGATGAGGTTCCTGGCTTCAAGTATTGCCTGCGGAATTGGCAGGCAAAGGAGTTCGCCCACCAACACGGTTATACGCCTTTGCCGCCGAGTCTCATGCCCGCAGCGTACTGCCAATCCCGCAGAGTGCCACGGAGCAACAGTGGACTCTGATGAAACATAGTGTGGGCTGTGGCGTCGCTCCCTGGCATACTTGGCTCACATTGCGACGGACCATACCACATGAGACCTTATGGGCTACCTCCGGTGCAGGTGTCTGGCAACCGCGAAATACGATAAGAGCGGGCATGCAGTCTGCAGCATTCGGTCAGCGCGGGAGCGGAAGTGCGAGAGAATCTTTCGGTTCTCGAAGCCTTTCGTGACAGCGACCAACAGGCCGCGGATGAGGGGAGACAGGGACAACTTGGTTCGCCTTGTGGCTTCCTTCGAAGCACGGGAAATTTGTCCTTTTGCAATTACGCATGGGAAGCAGACTGCGGCAGTACAAGGAAAATGGCGTCATTGCGCTTCATCATGCCTGCGTGAATCCCGACATCTTCACCCATCCACTTAGGTACGCGTGTGTTACCTGCAACTTGGCTCAGAGAGGTAGGAACGCCACTTCTGGCGATCCCGAGCCCCCGCTACCGGCCATTGCCTTCGCGCCCCATGGATGCGACGCTCGGGCGATGGCCAACCCGGCCACTACGGAGGTGGCAAACGTCCTGTCGGCCGGCCTGTGGGCTGTGTCGCCGCTTTCGCAATGCTTCGTGTTTGGAGGGCGTCGGGGAAATTGGCCACTGTCAGTGCCAAAGATTTCGATCACACACGGGCTTTGAAGAAGCACTTGTGTGATCTTTGTGGCTTCCCAGACTCTCCGACGGAAACCGCAGGAAATCTGGAGAATCAATAGGCTGAGTCCTGAAATAACCCGGCGTCCCCATCCTTCCACCCTGCAGCAGCGGCTCCGCGAACCTCAAAGAATGAACTACCCTTAGCGAAAGTGGTTTCTTGAAATGACTTTGCAGGGTTTTTATGTCTGAGGTGCTCACCTCCCGACCGCGTTCGGACCCCCCGAACACCTTCTACAGCGGCGCTAGCCAGAAAATGGCCAGTCCCGCTGCCGCTAGTTCGGGACCGGGCATCCTAGGCCCTGGAGACTTCCTCCAATTTCTTGAGCCTTTGGTGGGAGTACCTTGGGGCATGCTCAGGATCACGGATGCGGCAGGTTGTGACCAGAACGTGGATGACCCTCGATTGTACACGCGGACTGTCCTCCTGCTGCGAGGCGCCGCCTGGCGGGACCAATGTCGCCTGGCTCCAGACAAGCGCTCACTTGGCTGGTTGACATGCTCTGGTACGGGGCCGCTTCGTGGACGCCGCAGCTACTCACTGTGATGGCCCGACATGTGCTGTGGACAGGACATTGCCAATATGTGGGGTAGCTGCAGGCGCATGGCGCCGATGCTACAGTCCTCCGCCATCGCGCATCTTTATGGTACCCGGCCTCCGGGGATGATGCGGCGGTGATGCCCAGACATCGTGCAGCGCACCAGGGCGTTCAAGCCTGGCCGGCGAGGGCACTATTAATGTATACAGGCCTGATGGTCGGTTGATTTGCTTGGTGGAGGAGCCCGTGTTGCATGCGGACCTGCAGTGGGTGGCCACAGTCCTGATTGGATATTCGTCTCAGTGTGGACGTCTGGTGCAATTGCTGCCAAATGGGGAAGACTTCACGAATGATCCGACAGGCATCATTTCTTGCGGGTCATATCAGTTGGTTTCGTCAACTCCGTCGAGGGGGGCACGGTAATTGCAGCAGTCGCTCCTTCGGGATTCCTTGCTCCGGAATGACCCGCATCTTTGCCCCGTTGCGTCTGCGGGAAGCGTTGGAGCTGGCGGCGCTTCGAGAGGATGCCCTCCAGGTAGCCACACTTGCCTGCTATCTCCGCTTTCATCGACCGGCCTCTGATCCGGAAGTTGAGGACCAACAAGATCCAGTCCATCGGGCCCTGCTCACGGCTGTCAAAGCAGGAAGTGCGGCCACCGTTTTCAAGTTGCTGGCGGCGGGCTTTCCTTCGGAGGGCCCTCCTAACCAACGCTCTTCTTAAGGCTGTGGCACACACTGCCCCGCTTGCGGTGTGAGCTCCCTACACGAACTTCCTAAGGTCTGCGAGAAAGTTACCCTGAGTTCACGCTTTTCCTGCTTAAGCCAAAGGCGCTGCGCATGGTCAACCAAACTAGAAGACAATTGGCCCGAAAGCATCATCAGCGAAGAGTGTGGGGCTATGTGATAGATCCAGTGTGTAGGATCGTATGCAGATACAGTCAAGAGTCATGGAGTCCATGAGTCATGAGTCATAAAGTCATAGAGTCACAGTGAGATAGCGTCATAGAGTCATAGTGAGATCAAGTCACAGAGTCATGGAGTCATCTATGTAGCATGCACTTGACTCGATGTAGTTCACTCTATGCTCTATGTGTGGGAACGCTTAATCGAGATCCCCGTAGCGTGGTGGCTCATAGCCCGACCGGGACCTCGAGATGCAGATACAGTCAAGAGTCATGGAGTCCATGAGTCATGAGTCATAAAGTCATAGAGTTACAGTGAGATAGCGTCATAGAGTCATAGTGAGATCAAGTCACGAGTCATGGAGTCATCTATGTACCATGCACTTGACTCGATGTAGTTCACTCTATGCTCTATGTGTGGGAACGCTTAATCGAGATCCCCGTAGCGTGGGGGCTCATAGCCCGACCTGGACCTCGAGATGCAGATACAGTCAAGAGTCATGGAGTCTATGAGTCATGAGTCATAAAGTCATAGAGTTACAGTGAGATAGCGTCATAGAGTCATAGTGAGATCAAGTCGCAGAGTCATGGAGTCATCTATGTATCATGCACTTGACTCGATGTAGTTCACTCTATGCTCTATGTGCGGGAACGCTTAATCGAGATCCCCATAGCGTGAAGGCTCATAGCCCGACCTGGACCTCGAGAGGCACATACAGTCAAGAGTCATGGAGTCCATGAGTCATGAGTCATAAAGTCATAGAGTTACAGTGAGATAGCGTCATAGAGTCATAGTGAGATCAAGTCGCAGAGTCATGGAGTCATCTATGTACCATGCACTTGACTCGATGTAGTTCACTCTATGCTCTATGTGTGGGAACGCTTAATCGAGATCCCCATAGCGTGAGGGCTCATAGCCCGACCTGGACCTCGAGAGGCACATACAGTCAAGAGTCATGGAGTCCATGAGTCATAAGTCATAAAGTTAACAAGATTTTCTTCTACACAGGGGGGGGTTTGCAATTTTTGAATTTAAGGCAGAATAAAGGTAACCGGTAAGGCAAATGGGAAAGGTAAAGGCAGGAGAAAGGCAGATCGGGTCGATTCGGCAAAGGCAAAATCAAGACAACGTCAAACGCGAAATAAAAGCAACAACAAAGGCAACATAAAGGCAACAGAAAAGGCAGGTTACCAAGCCATACTCAAGAATATTCACATTCTCTTTAATTCAGTTCGATTATATTCAATTCAATTCAGATTCTATCCAAATTCTATTCAATTCAATTCTATTCTATTTACTATTCTATACAATTTTATTAGGTCCTTAATGAGGTTTCTGAATATCTGGCTTATGAGAATAGTTTGAATAGTGAATAGTGATAGTGAATAGTGAGTAGTGGTCGTATGTCCCGGAAACAGAGATAGAGTGTCCTGGAAATGGTGACCGTGTGTCCCGGACATAACATAGTGAGCGGACATCCCGCAAATAGGAAAAAACCATCAGTGATCGGATATCCCGGAAATTGTGATCGGATTGATCGGGCATCCTGGAAATAGTCATTTGTGCACAAGGACATGAAACAGTCATCTGTGCATTCGGGCATAGAGACGTGAAGATGTTGAGAGTCGAGTGTAAATTGTTTGGTTTTGTCAGTTGGTGTTTGTTTTGGGGGCATAGGTCCTTTGTTAAGTCTTATGACAGTCTTATGAATTCGTGTGATGCATTCCATGATAACATGATATTCGCCCCACACCGCATTGTCATGACTCGCGAAAGCTAGCAGCTAGCAACTAGCTGCTAGTTACAGTTCGGTGGAGCGGGCAGGAGTGGTCATTTACCGTGACTATGACTATGACTATGACTAATGACCAAGGTACTATCAATCATAGATGAAAATTGTGTGCAGCACAAAAATCAACTCCGATTTACAATCGGAAACAGTGTGGAAGGGGTGCCTACAAAGCAGGCCTAGCAGGCTCAGCAAGGTTAGGGTTTGCGGGCCCCTTGGCCTTGAGTTTCGGGTGTTCGTGCTGGCCTGGAGTGAAGAAGCTGGACTCTGCATGTGCGCAAGTGCGATTTCTTGGCTTCCAGTTTTGGACTCAAGCCCACAGGCACAAGAGGGCCGCTGTGACTGTTTTTATCAGCACCTATCAGCACTATCAATCAGTATCAGATCAGTATCACATACGATCAGTCCTTATCAGCAACTATCCACGATCGGAGGCAAAATCGGCACTAACTGCGCTAAACTAAACTAGCTAAACAACGAAAATTTTAAACCCATCAAAGAAAGCTTTCCGGTCTCGTATTTATTTGCGCATTTGCAATGCATGATTTTATGTTTAGTTTAGTCCTTCGTCATCACGGGATTGATGGGCAGCTGTTTTTTCGAGACAGTGCGAAGTCACACACTTTCAGCAGCAGTCAGCACCTCACAGAACACGGGGTCTGGTGAGCCTGGTAACCCTGGTAGGTATCGGCCGAGGGCAGCATGTGGGACCAGGACATGGGACGTAGGCCGTAGGCTACGCCGTAGGCATTGTTTTGCGGAAGCTGTGTGTGCCATGGGGTGGTGTGACCTGGATGAAGATTTCCTCGAACTGTCCCAAAAAAGTGCAGATTCCGTGGAGGCTGCAGAAGCCGCTCGGCTAAGTGACGGAGGTTCGGACTGTGAGCCGGCTCAGCCTGAATTTGGGAGTGGCAGCAATGGATGCTGGAGCGGCAGTGGAAGTGGATCTGGCGATCAAAGTCCTTGGTGGGTTGAGCTTTTGAAGGACAGCACTGCTCACCTACGTACTCACGAGTCGCCAGCGACAGGGCCAATGACGATCGTGTCTGGTTGCAGTGGCATGCTCGCAGAAGCATTCGTGCTCCAGGCCTGGGCTTAAATGGGCCTAATGATTGCCTAGGCCTAGTCACCTAGTCACGGCCTAGTCACTAGTCCTAGTCCTAATGATTCCTAATGTCCTTGTACAATATTACAGAGGTTGGGCTAGGGTTTGGGCGGTTCAGGGCTTTGGCCGCCCGGTTCGGGCGAGGGGTGCAGTGTAGTGACAGTGTAGTGGTTGATGCCGCCCGTTTCGGGCAGGTTAGGGCCAGGTCGATTTGGTTTTGTTTAGGCCCAAAGCTTACAGATATCATTGCCATGGGGTCATAGAGTATAAAATAGAATAGTATAGAATAGTTTCGGGCAGGCTGCCTTGTGGTGCAAGCAAGCTGCATGCTTCCGAATCATCGAAATGTGTGTTCGATTGACTCTAGTGACACTGCGAATGTTTCGCACGGCATGCTGGAGGGCGACTCGATCACTTTAAGCACTTTAGTCAACCATTTTGTAGTAAGCCCAAACCAGTGTTAGTCACTGTTACTCACTCAGCTGCCTGAACCTAGCGGCGCGAACCGCTACAATCCTCTTCAGCTTAACTAAACCTGAGTTCTGTAAATCTAGAATCTAAACTAACTACCTAAACTAGTTCGATGCTCGCATAAAGATTTCAAACCCGGGACGTCGGACCTAAATTCTAAAATACTTAGCAGCCTAGCAATCAAACGTCGAAGCCAAATCGCTGACAACAAACCCTGAGTCTATAATATCTCCATGCTCTATACTTCCTATACTTGACAAAACGGGTAACCCTGGTAACTACCTGAGAGAGAGAGAGAGAGAGAGAGAGAGAGAGAGAGAGAGAGAGAGAGAGAGAGAGAGAGAGAGAGAGAGAGAGAGAGAGAGACCGCCGTACAAGCCTGCTCCGTTCACTTTTCCTGGGGCGGTGGATGCAAGTGGGTGCGGTCCTTGGCTTCCGTTGTTTTCTCTGCTGCGCTTTCGCATGGCACGGAACACGCTCAAAATCCCAAAATCCTAACACCTCAGGTCGGGCGCAGAGGAGGAGTCGGCTGCAGAGATGTTCGTGAACGAGGTGCAGGCCTTCGCCTTGGAGCGTGATATGTCTGATAAGCGACACTCTCCTTACTTTTCTTCGTGCAAATGTCGGTTTGTCTGTGTTTGTGCCCCTGCTCCTGGGGCCGCCGTTGCTTTAACTTTAAGACTCTAATCCTCTCAGCATGAATCCGGTCTTACATCCCGTGAGCAACTGGTCATCCCAGGTGCGTCGATGCAATTCCTGTGGGACGAAGGCCGTGAACTTGGGCTGTTCCATGTGTGGGAGTACCCTGGGTTAAGGTCTAAGTCTTAGTCAGCCGCGGCTAGCGCGAAAATGTTCCCAAGATTCCAAAATGTAGCGACATCTGTAAACAAGTTCTGTTGAGTATTATATTCATTCACCAATTGCACACACTTAAACCAAGCCCTAAGCCCTAAGCTCCTAAACCCCGGCCAAACCCAGAAGCCGCCCTCAACGAGCCAGATGAGGTCATCAATGTGTGACAGTGGCAGCCGGTGGCAAGCACGGGATCCCGAAGCCCAAACACAAAACCCCTAAACCCTAAGGCCCTAAGGACCTATAAGGACCCGGAGCGTTGCACCAGCGGCCACTTATCCGGAAATTTCATGTCGTACATTGCACCGGGGCAAGGAAACCATGCCGTACCTGATGCCATACCTTTGTTTGCGCATCATCCCCTGCATCGTGATCTGGATCATCTTACCTAGCAGACCTAGCAGCTACTTACTTCACATCCCAAAACTGTTGAAGCCTGACATCGCTAACTGTTAACTCCTGCAGCAGGTGCTGATGTGGGCCCTCGGGCGTTGCCACGACCAGCGGATTCCAGCCGAGCCATGGGCCAAGCGTTTTGGGTCTTTTAGGTAATTTTAGGTTTTTACGGTTTTTTAGGATTTTAGGTAGTTTTAGGTTTTAGGTTTTAGTTTGGAGGGTTCTGTTCAATAGATTCAATAGATTCTAGAGATTCTAGGGCCTCTAGGGATTCTAGGGCTTCCAGGGGTTTCAGAGTTTGTTTGGAGTGTTTGATTATGGATGACTAGACATGGATCGCTTCACTTAAGCTGTCTGAGGTTTGGGTTTCTTGGAGGGCGGTTGGTAGGAGCTTTCGGGCTTGAGGTGAATTAAGGCTATCGGGGAGTCATCCTCGATTGGTTTCGTGCTGGATTCGATTTAGTTGATTGGCTTCGATAGCTACCATTGGTATGTGTACATATATATATATATATATTTTGAGCAGGTTCAATAGCATAGCCAAATTAGCTACATTGCTGAAAATATCGTCAGTAACATCAGGCTTCAGTTTGTAAACCCCTCTGGAACGAAACCCGGTGTAATCCTCTCTGGCCATAAGGCCAGAATTTCGAGCGGGTCGTCGAAACCCTACTGACCTATTGTTAGTCAGTCACTTTCTCAGGCACCCCTCTGCTATCTGCTATCATGGCTCCTCAATTACTCCAACCTCTTTGAACAACTAATCCATTTGGGGTCCAGGTGCTTTGGGGCCAGGGTTTTTCAGGGCTTTGGCCGCAGGGACAGAAGGCTTCCAGGTTTCTGGGCTTCGTGATGTCGGACCTGAACAACTGGACACTCAATCCTTAGCCCCGAATCCCCAAAACCCCAGCAGCTCAAACCCACGAGACTTTTTGCAATCACCAATCATTCGATTCTAATCAGTTAAACTAGATTAACTAGATGCCTACACATATACGTATACATTGTAGATTGGAGATTGTTGGGCCTTGTAGGGTCTTCTCAACACAAAAAGCCAGAGAAAGCTTCCTTAAGAACTTAATTGCCGCAGCTGATTGAGTGATCCTGAGAATTATTCGGCGGCATGATGTGCTCGAGTCCAGGTCCGAGTCTAGAGTCTAGGACCCTAGGAGTCATCATGAAAAGGCCAGGGGTCATGGAGGAGCCTTCGCCGAAGACCAGCCGCCATAACATGCAGGCGTCGCAGAATGTGGCCGAGGCAAGTGCGGCAAGTGGGTCGAAGAATGCGGCGGAGGCAAGCGCGGCAAGTGGGTCGACGAATGAGGCCGAGGTGCAGGCGTCGCAGTGGGATGTTCCTCCGCAGAGACCGTCCTGGGCAAGGGTGGGTGATGGAGCACCTGTTAAGCCTGGTGCGGTGGAAGTCGCTCAGCTCCACGAGGACAGGTGGATTTGCACGATGGACATAGATCTGAACAGCAGCGTGGACAGTACCTGGGCTCATCATAGTTTTGAATACATGTTTTGCTGTTGGTGGAGCTTAGGCTTAGGCCTTAGGCTTAGGCTTATGCTTGTGCATGCCCTGACCAAGGCATGCTTCAGGAGTTGAAATCTACAGGATGCGCTCGGGGTTTCCGCTATGAAGTGGTGGGCGTGGCAGTGTCAGTCAAAGAAGTGCCTGAGACGGCTACGGCTATGGCTACGGTGGAGGCAGTGGAGGCCGACCGTCGCAGTAGCTGAGTAGCTGAGTAGCTCTGAAGTTCACTCGGGAGCATACCAGCAAAAGCAGTATGTGTGCGCGCACACACACACATACACAGCATACAAAGAACATCGCAGCACAGCACAGCACTGCCATGCAGCAAACAGCTCCGCTCCATGTTTCACCGTCGTGTGCGATGTGCACCGAACCGGCTGTGCTCGGGTTCATTACTTGAGGCACTGACCAGGCATAGGCCGGCATAACCTAGAATCCTAGAATTCTCGGACCATTCTCGGAAGGGGTGGAGCACAGCCAGTTCACCGAGGAGTTCATGTGGCAAAAGTGGGGTCTCTCCTCTTACACTCGCGACCTTTTTCCCTGTGTCCCACACTTTGGAAGGCTTCGTGTCAGCTTCGGGCCGGGGGTGTAGTGTAGGCCAGTGTAGGGCTTGGATGACCCGGTCGGTGTAGGGGCTTCGGTTACTTTGTTGGTTGGGGGCTTCCTCGGCTTGGGTTTCTTGCGAGACACCGAACCCGATGTCCTCAGGTCGTGCGGGCCCCTGGGCCAGCGCTGAGGTGGCGACCTCGGCACGGCATGCGTTTAGATTTAGAATTTAGATTCCCGCTTCTGTGTTGGGCTGCATTCCTGCTGCTCTTTTCCAGTCTGCTCACATCGAACATGTACTCTTGTTGTGTTTCTAACATTCTCACGAAGCCTCATTCTATACTGGCCCAGGTTCCCGTCGTATCCGGCATTGGGCCCTGGTCGTGGGCTTGGCATTGGCTGCAGCACCGCTCTTTGGGTCATTCTCGGGCTTGGGGGTATGGTTTTGCTTCAAAGAGGGTCCTTCCACTAATGCTGGTTTCGATTGATCGTGCACCATGCGTGTGTGGCTTCTTCTTTTCCCGGGCCGAGACATTCTGAACAGCCATTGCTTTGCTGGCAGGTCTTGTGATGGGGCAGGTTCCAGAACGGCCGCGACCTTGACTGTTGCCCATCCATGTCCCTGCTCGGAGTGGGGATTCCTTCTGTGTTCCCGATGCTCAGTTCTCGGGGCTCTGCCGTTGCCGATGTTTCTGCTATGCTTGTGCATGGAACACATGTGGATAATCGACAAATTGATGCTCTCTTGATCTCGAGGCCGGTGACTGGTGCTCATCCCTCCTCGATCTTGTGGGATCCCGAGTTGTAGGATTGTAGGCTTGGGGTTTAGGTCAAGTTTAGGTGCTTCTGTAAGGTGCTTGGGCCCTGACACCTGACCCCCAGAGAGTCCAGAATCTCCAGAATGGAATTGACTCATTTGCTGATGCGGCTAGCGGCTATCCAGATTGTGGGCATACATTGTTCGATTCTGTCGGATTCTTAGAGTCTTAGATGCTGTTAGATCATTACATTACTAGGTCCGCTAGCTCCCAGGGTCCTAGGTCCCAGATGCTGGATTCTAGATTCTAGATAACAACATCCATGTCGTGCAGCACTTCATGCCCAACATGTGGGATGGGGACTCATCGGTGCAACGGTCGTAGCACCAAAGCTTGTGTGGTGACACGTGATCATAGCCGACACCTGAGGGTGG